CATGTATAAGATTGAGAAAAAGTTATGCTTGCACCTATTCAGTATAGTTGGTTTTACGCACGCTTCCCACAAATTAGCTTATATTTACAACATCCGGAAGTGACGTAATTGCTAATAGTGACGTCATCAGCGATCAAACTGTATAACAAAAACTTAGAATACATAGGTATGCGTCATAGTCTCATCAGACATATCAAATGTTAAATAACAAGTTATAAAACAGCGCTTCTCCATGCCCATCATTTTTCAGACTGTAGGTCCCAGTCTCGTACTACATCCACGATTTTTCTCGCGCTTGCTTCATAACGACTGGGACTAGGCTGTATGTTAGGTATATTATTATACGTAATATGAGCTTCAATTTAAGGTAAAATTCAACCACAATCGCTTCTCCAAACGTTTTAAAGTGTTCTTTACAAAACTAAGCAGCCTTTAATTAAATGGCTTTATCGATAAACTTTGAGTTTGCAATAAAATGATTTCAAATTCTCCCCTGCAAATAACTTTACTTTCTTTTCTATTAAAAAAAATCAATATAATAAAAAGGGAATCAATATTAAAGATACACTGAAATTATATGCTGTTTTGTTTAGTTGTTTCATATACGCAGAGCCCGTCAGGTTTTAAACCATTATAAAATCAATATTTAAAACAAACTTACCCTCGTTAACGTTGGTTCCTTCGCCCTTTCTTTATGAGAACACTATTGAAATTTATAAAATCTTGAAAAATTGCGATATATATTGCTATAAATATATATATATATATATATATATATATATATATATATATATATATATATATATATATATATATATATATATATATATATATATATACCCTTACAAAAATTTCACATAACATTTCATATATGAAAATTTCATATATGAAATCGTTATATGGAATTGAAACAAATTTCATATATGAAATATTTCATATATGAAATTTTCATATATGAAATTTTCATATATGAAATTGTTTCAATTCCATATAAAGATTTCATATATGAAATATTTCATATATGAAATTTTCATATATGAAATTGTTTCAATTCCACATAAAGATTTCATATATGAAATATTTCATATATCAAATTTTCATATATGAAATTGTTTCAATTCCACATAAAGATTTCATATATGAAATATTTGATATATGAAATTTTCATATATGAAATTGTTTCAATTCCACATATAAAGATTTCATATATGAAATATTACATATATGAAATTTTCATATATGAAATTGTTTCAATTCCACATAAAGATTTCATATATGAAATATTTCCTTCCACATTAAGATTTCATGTATGAAATTCTCACATGTTTCAAATATTAAGTTTTAAGTTTATCTGATCCCATTTACCCAAGATTAAACAAAGCGAGCAATGGCTTTGAGGTATTGAAATAAGTCCTCATGAAACCAGACAAGCACATGCTAACAACAGACTAAATATAGATCAATGCAAAAAATATATTCGCAAGAATTAGTGCTCAACAATTACATTTTGCCCATTTGATATTTCTACAGAACAAAATCCAAAGCCACCTGGATCATGTTATTTTTCCGAATCATTAACAAATGACTTATTTCAATATCTCAAAATCATTGCACGCTTCGTTTAATCTTGTGTAAGCGGGATCATATGAACTGCCCCTTAGAAAAATCTACCAAAATAAGAAAGTTACGTGCTATGCAGGTTTGATGTACCACATCAGACACTAGTTTATTCGAAATATACAAATTACAAACTAATAAAAAACTTAATTACAATATACATATATTTACTCTCGGTTACAAAAAATATCCCAAATTTTGTGTGATTTTGAGAAAATTATCCATTTGGGACATTTTTTGATACACCCTGTATATGCATTACTCAACTAAAAGCATGCAGAAACAAAAAATCAGGGGCGGGTTACCAGTAACACCATGCAGGGACACTACCAAAGATTAAAATTAAGAAATGCATATAATATCATTATTAAAATATTAAAAATAAATACTGTATGTTTGTGTTCTGTTAACAGTTCTCCTGCTTCTCCAGTTCACATTGAATCTTTTTCTTGTATTCTTAGTTAATTTCGAAAAATTCTTGGACCTATCCACCTCAGTTAAGGCATTTGCTGTCAGCATGGACTAATAAAAGAAATTATAATTAATATACATTGTGAGATCTGAATTTTCTTCTTGTCAGTGACTGCAGTCAAGCCTTTACTGTTTCAGTCAGTCACTGCCCACATGTCATACGACTAAATCGTTAGACAGAGTAAAATAATACTTAAAGCAGGGTGCATTGGCACAATGCAACAGAATGGATTAACTAGATAATAGCATAGTTGCCCGGGTTTCTTTTGTTTCAACAGGGACGTTTAATCACGTATCGCCCGCTGTAGCGGGCGATTAGTTCTAATCGCCCGCTAGAGCGGGCGATTAGAACTAATCGCCCGTTACCAAGGGTCACACCTTTGTCTCCCTGACGACTACGCATTAGGCAAGTGCCTCACGCACATAATCGTGCAAGGAACAGCAACAGTTAGCTCAGAGTCGTCAATAG